GATTTAATCATCATAAATCTTACTGAAAGACGTTAGTTTGTAGGATTCATTAATGCTGATTTTATGAATATGCCTTCTTTATATATCAGCTTTGGGAGTACTTGTGATTATGACTGCATGATAGGACGAGGGTTGAATGTTTCTGGGTCAATTTTAGTTTCATTTATCTACCTGTAAATATATGTGGTCCTGTTATGTCTTTGTCTTTAATGCATATGATATGAGGTTCAGCTTCTTTTATTGTTGATACTGTTTTTCAGATATTTCTCTGACCCATAATTTTACCGTCGTTGTTTTTTAGGTTCCAAGTTAAAAAGAAGCAGTTTTTCCGCAATTTTGTGACTATTATGGCTTTTGGCGCCATTGGGACTATAATATCTTGCACTGTAATATCTCTAGGTACCTTACTTCACACTCCTTGTAGTTGGTTCGGATTAGTAAATGTGATGTGATTCATTGTTATTCTTGTGGTGTTTGTATCAGGTGCAATGCAGTTCTTTAAGAAATTAGACATTGCGACCTTTGACTTGGGCGATATTCTTGGTAATGCATCAACTAATTTTTTTTCTTTTGTTCCTGTTGAATTTTTTCTTTTTCTCTAGAAGATTTGATTTATTTGGTGACTATTTCTCAGCAATCGGCGCTATATTTGCTGCAACCGACTCTGTTTGCACACTGCAGGTAATGCAAGTCTCTAAGTAGCTGAAGTACCTACAGGGTATCTACAGGACCAGAATCGAACTACTAGTTAAAGCTATTTTTTCTTTGGTGATACAGGTTCTCAATCAAGATGAGACGCCTTTGCTTTACAGTCTTGTATTTGGAGAGGGCGTTGTGAATGATGCCACATCAGTTGTGCTCTTCAATGCAATTCAGAGCTTTGACCTCACCCACCTTAACCATGAAGCTGCTTTTCATTTTCTTGGAAACTTCTTGTATCTGTTTCTCTTGAGCACCGTGCTTGGTGTAGCAGTAAGTCCAGTTTATTTTCTCTATCGCACTTTCTTCTGGCCACTACTTACACGCTTTTCTGTTAAAACCATCCTTGAATACAATTGTATTGTTTTTCATCTTGCAGACTGGTCTGATAAGTGCTTATGTCATCAAGAAGCTCTATTTTGGAAGGTATGTAATCGATTTTAGCCCCATATGTGACTTTCTGTAAGCCTGTCTGTAATGTGAATTTTACTGGATGTCTCAGGCACTCGACTGATCGAGAGGTTGCGCTCATGATGCTTATGGCATATCTTTCATATATGCTTGCTGAGGTTAGACTCCGTGAAAACTTTTGTCAGTTTCGATTTAGTTTTTAAGGCATGGAAACATTCAGTTTCATCTCAAAGAATCAGTTTAATACTGTTATTTTGTTTGGGTTGCAGCTATTCGCCTTGAGTGGTATTCTCACTGTATTTTTCTGTGGTATTGTGATGTCCCATTACACCTGGCATAACGTAACCGAGAGCTCAAGAGTAACTACCAAGTAATACAATCTCCAGTTTCTCCATCTTTTGCTTGAAGTAATTTTCCATAATCACTACTTACTCTGTTCATTTACTTTGATACAGGCATACCTTTGCTACTTTGTCGTTTCTAGCCGAGACTTTTATTTTCCTCTACGTCGGTATGGATGCATTGGACATCGAGAAGTGGAGATTCGTGAGTGACAGGTACGGTAACTCTAGTGAACAGAGAAAAATAAACTTTATTCTTGTCTCTTTGCATGTTTCCTTGGCTATATAATTGTTCTCTGAATGTTTCCATTGTTTGGTTTTGCACAGCCCGGGGACATCGGTTGCAGTGAGCTCAATCCTAATGGGTCTAGTGATGCTTGGAAGAGCAGCTTTTGTATTTCCTCTTTCCTTCATATCAAACTTATCCAAGAAAAATCAGAGCGAGAAGATAGATATCAAGCAGCAAGTACGAACAATCTACTTTTGTCTATGGGAATTAAGAATGTTTAATGCCTATTAATCTGTATTCTTTGCCTTCGTCTATAGGTTGTGATTTGGTGGGCTGGTCTAATGAGAGGTGCTGTATCCATGGCTCTTGCCTACAATAAGGTAAACTGAAACCTTGTGATTTTAGCAAACAGCCATATGATGATTGGTGAATATCTTTTATGGATCTTTTAACTTATTGTCTAATGCAGTTTACAAGATCAGGGCACACTGAACTGCGTGGGAATGCAATCATGATTACTAGTACTATAACCGTTTGTCTTTTTAGCACAATGGTAAAATATTTTCCCTTGTCAGGTTACAGAATAATACTATATGCATTTTCCGTATTGGTGTTTTACACAGACAGTGTGTTTTGTTTTTAGGTGTTTGGTATCCTGACCAAACCGCTCATTAGACACCTGATGCCACATCAAAGCACGACCACAAGTATGTTATCCGACGACAACACTCCGAAGTCTCTTCACATGCCACTCCTGGATGGCGAGCAGCAGGATTCATTCGTGGAGTTCTCTGGGAGCCACCATGACGTGCCACGACCAGACAGTCTTAGGGGTTTCCTGATGCGTCCAGCACGCACTGTACACCACTATTGGAGACAGTTTGATGATGCATTCATGCGTCCTGTGTTTGGTGGTCGCGGTTTTGTTCCTTTTGTCCCTGGTTCTCCCATCGAGAGAAGCACCCATGATCTCAGTAAACCTTGAGAAAAAGGTTATAGAAACTTTCTCAGAAAACCCAAAAAAAAATCTTCTTCTTCCTTCTTATAGTCACTCAATAGTGGTGATGTAAAGTTTTTTTTCTTCTCTTTTTGTTCTTCAAACTTAGAACTTTTTTTTTGTAAATTTGTTCCACTATAATCACACTATTATTATTACTATATTGGATGAAGATGAAGCTTTTTACATTTTGAGAGACGTGTATGATTTTATGTATAATTGGGTCTTTGTGTATGCCTTTACTTTGGCTCAGCGGTTTGTTGTTGTTGGTTAGGAACTTGACTTGTCTCTCTCTGATAAGATCTGTTTGGTAAGATATGGTTTAATATGTTTTGACTATTGAGTCACTCCTGGCCCATGAAATTTAATTCGTCTGCTCTATTTTCGGTTAAAGTTCGGTTTGACATGGTTCAATTCAGTTCAGTTATGTTAAATTCACTAAAGCAATAGATAATCCGGTCAATCTGGCACGTGCAGTAATAATTATGGGCTGCATACCTGCATAGCTTAAGACTTAACAGGCCCTAAAAGGCCCATTTATTATAAAACGGCGACGTTTAGAGTGCACCAAGCTTATAAATGTAACCAGCTACCTCGAGACAACACGCTCTTTGTACACTCCGCCATCTCTGTCTCTCTCTCAATCTCTCCATCTCGAGCAGATCTCTCGTGAATATCGACAATGTCGACCACTTTCTGTTCCTCTGTCTCCACGCAAGCCACTTCTCTGGTAATCACATCTTCTTATTCTTCTTATTGGTTTCCAGATCTCTCTGATCATACGATCAATTAGATCATTTGCCTCTGATCTGCTACTTTCTTGTTTGTCACCGTTTAAAAACTCTCCACGCATTATTGATTATGTTTGAGGATTAAAAGATGTTAACTTTACGAATATTTATTCATCATTTCAATTAGATTTGCAACTTGTGTGTAACATTGAAGGCTGTGTAGATTTCGATCTGTATTGATTTGTAACACAACTTGCGAGCTATTATTGTTTTGGTTATGAAAACTATCAGAACAATATTAATTGAGTGAAAATGTTTTGTTGTATTTTTATGAAACAAACAGGCAACAACAAGGATTAGTTTCCAGAAGCCAGCTTTGGTTTCAAGGACTAATCTCTCCTTCAACCTACGCCGTTCAATCCCAGCTCGTCTCTCAATCTCCTGCGCTGTATGTTCTCTTGTATACACACCACTCTCAGCGTTTTTTTTTCGAGCTTGCTTATGTTTTGTTCTATTTGTTTTTATTAGGCCAAACCAGAGACTGTGGAGAAAGTGTCTAAGATTGTCAAGAAGCAGCTATCACTCAAAGACGACCAAAAAGTCGTTGCAGAAACCAAATTTGCTGATCTTGGAGCAGATTCTCTTGACACTGTAATTCATCAATCACTTTCTTATGTTAATAAAGTTTTTTTTCTTTTAATACTGATTAGTTTGAGTGTTTTTTTGTGCAGGTTGAGATAGTGATGGGTTTAGAGGAAGAGTTTGATATCGAAATGGCTGAGGAGAAAGCACAGAAGATTGCAACAGTGGAGGAAGCTGCTGCTCTCATTGAAGAGCTCGTGGAAGCCAAGAAGTAATTTTAGTATAAAAGAATCCAAGGCTTTGTGTTTGTTTGTTTTCATATCTTTCTGTCATTTTTCTTTTTTTAATGTGTTAAGCGACTCTGTTGGTTTAGTATTATCTCTATGCCATGGATCCTCTCTCTATTTGTCGACTGAAAACTTTTGGTTACACATGAAAGCTTCTTCTTTCTTAAATCCAAATGCCAAATGCGAAATTAAGCATATAACGCACAAGAGATAAGTAAGTTATATCATAATGTATAGGAAGTCTTGTGTTAACACATACATAAGTCAAAAGATTAACTTGTATTGCATCAACATGATCTGAAAGTAACATCTCACAGAAGCCCCGAGATGAGGAAAGTCCGTCTCAACGCTTCACCACCATTCGTGTAGTTTCCTTGGAAGAGAAAGGCTACCAAGCTTACTTCCAGAAACAACATTCCAGAAGTTGTGAACAAAGTTACAGGACTGTATAGATAATATAAAACAGTTTGGGAGGAAAGTGTAAAATAAAATAATTTAAAGGCACTATATGTAAATATGTGATAATACTAGGGTGTTAATAGTATTTAAAAAAAACATTCTCTAATCCAACCGTTGAAAACTACTCACAATCTCTGGCGTAACGACCGGATCGTTCGCGCGTAATTTTCTCTGCTATAAATAGAAAGTTTCCTCTTCTGTTTCTCGATTGATTTTTTTTTTTTTTTTTTTTGTGAAACATTCTGTTTTGAATCTATCGAAGAGATGAGAAACACGAGGAATATTCATGTGAGGAACCAAGGCACGGATCCATCTTCGCCGATGATGACGTCTCCTCTGATGAATCGTCACGGACGGACAGGATCCAACGCTGGACCAGGATCTAACGCCAAGAAAGCTCAGACGAAAGCAGCAGCTCAGAGACTCGCGGCTGTGATGTCGACCCAAACGGGAGATGATGAAGACAGTGATGATGACCTTTCTTTTGACTACAACGCTGTTGGAAGCATTGGTCTCGCTGCTGGAAGATCTAATCCTTCTCGGTCTCCAATGGTAATTAAACAAAGAAAAACATTCAGTTTTGTTTGTTTTAAGGATTGTATATGACTAGAGGTCACTAGATCAACTTGAAAAGACTATGATCATTGTGTCCGAGTTCCCTAATTCGAGTGAACGCTGGAAGAAACTAATATTACATGTTGTGGTTTTTTATCTGAAAAATTATGGGATTTGTCTGTCTGGAACATCATGGCCCAATGGTAAGGACGGACTCCTTCCTACACCCAGGTTGGGAGTTCGAACCCTGCTGGAGAGAACTGTCTCATGATGTCTCTAGACACTATACACGTATAGGTCCTTACTTTCGACCAATTTCGTAAGGAGATTAGTCTAGATCTAGGTCTAGGCCATGTGTCCCCAGGAGATTAGTCTAGGTCTAGGTCTAGGTCACGTGTCCTCAGGAGATTAGTCTAGGTCTGTTTGGACTTGAGATTTACTCTTGAGTAATTAAAAAAAAAAACAAAAAAGAAATTATGGGATTCTACAGTTCAAAAAAAAAAATTATGGGATTCTACCTGAACTTCTAGATATTCAAAATAAAAAGGATTGTATGTGAATGTAATAATGGTTTTATTTTCTTGAGTGACAGATCAAGAAACCTGTAGCAAGGCGTCCGCAGATGGGAACTCCACAGTTAGCTGATGATGACAATGATGATGATGATTTCTCAGTGGATGTATCTAGTAACAGGCCTAGTATTGGTCTTCCTGGTGGGAGAGCGATAAGACCTAAGTCTCCTGTGGTGGTTAGCTTATTGCAAGTTCATTGTCTAACCAAATGTGTATTATGTTCATATATTTATTTAATTTCGGCGCAGACTAAAATTGCACCACCGAGACGTACACAACCAGTAAATGAAGATAAGAAGAAGGATGATGATGACGATGATGATGATGTTGTTTCAGTAGATTATACAATTGGTAGACCAAGTATTGGACTTGGAAGTGGGAGGGCAATGCGGCCACAAGCTTCTATGGTATTTAACCTAGTGACATGTTCATGTTCTGTCTTACTTTTTTAACTTGAGCTGAATGTTTTGGCAAGAGCAGAACAAAGTCCAACCACAAGGACGTCCGATGATGGCAGTTAGTCAACTTAATGATGAGGAAAACGAAGATGATGAGACTCCATATACGTATACAGGAGGCGTTCCAAGTGTTGGACTTGCTGGTGGAAGGTCTGCACGGTCACGTTCTCCTCTGGTATGTTTTTGAATGTGTTCTTTCTAAGTTTTTACCGGTGAAAGACATATCATTTTCTGTGTACTTACTACAGAAAAAAGCCCCTCCACTGAGACATCCACAAGCATCAAGTGGAGACAGTGATGCTGATTATGATGAGCCTTATACTAGTGTCATGCCTAGCATAGGACTTGCTGGTGGACGTTCAATGAAGCCTCGCACTCCTTTGGTAAAAATCTAGTTCATAGCAACTCTTGTGTTATTTAAACATGGTTAACTGAAATGATATTATGAAATCAAGAACCAGTTTAATATTGTAACACATCATATCTCTGTAACTTGTTGATTATGTCATCTGAAACTTGGTTTGTTTTTTTTTTTTTTTTTTTTTTTTGCATTAGTCAATTCGTACAAAGGAACAACCTCAGACCGGAGTTCCAACTTCGGGTAACCGATCATCATTCAGTGAGGATTCAACATTACCTCAGACAACAACAAACCAAGTGGACCAATCTCCATCTTCACGTTCTGGCTTCTCTAACAAATCATCTCAGTCTCTCAATACTATTGATCAACCTCCCTCAGCTCGTTCATCTTTCAGTGGTCGTCCTATAAGGACAGTACCTTTGATGCCATCTTCTGTTCCTATATCACTTAAACCAGTCACTCCTGGTTTTCAATCTGACACACCAACCAATCTTAGAAAAGACAAAAGGTAACTATAAAGTATAGCTTATTTATGGATATGTTAAGACTACTCTACACATTCAGTGTGGTCTTAGTTAAGTGTGTTTATGTTTATTAGTAGGTTTTCCATGGATTTGGGAAGCTCAGGAAACTTAAGAGAGTTAGGAAGTCAACGGTCTACTTCAGCTTTGCAAGATGAGGTTTGACTTCTTCAGAAGCTGTTAACATATTTTCATGAAACTAATGATTAATTTAACTAGTTTTCATTTTTCATTGCAGGTTGATATGTTACAGGAAGAAAATGAAAGTTTGTTAGACAAGGTGATGCCAGTAAATTTTCACAGTTGGTTTTATTAGGCATTAGTTTACTCTATTTTCTTCAGTTCTATCAATTCTGGTAGATTCTCTGTGAAGTTAGATTGTATTTTGCATCACATCCTAATTTGTGCGTCCCCAGCTTCGACTTGCAGAAGATAAATGTGAAGAAGCAGATGCAAGAGCTAAGCAACTTGAGAAGCAGGTAAACATATGGTTCAAGTCCCTTACTGTGTCTGTTTGCCTCAAAGCTTTAACCAGATTTTTCATTAGGTTGAGATCCTTGGTGAAGGTGTTACTATGGACGCACGTCTTTTAAGCAGGAAGGAGGCAGCTCTGCAACAGAGAGAGGTCAGTGCAATTTGTAGTTCTAGTTAAGATCTTGACATAATCAAGAGATCCAATCTCTTTTTCAGGCTGCTTTGAAACTCGCATCAAAATCTCGTGGAGGAAAGGGAGAAGATGTTTCAGCTCTTCATACAGAAGCTGAGGTACTTTAGTTCTTTTAGTTGTCAAAACTGGTATCTGAAGTGATACTAACTAACTTTAATATCTTGGAACTGTATTTTAGATAGCTAGGGAGGAAGCAGCATCTTCTTTAGAGCAGCTACATGAAGTTGAATCAGAGCTTAACTCTCTAAAAACCATGACCAAGAGATTGATATTAACTCAGGAAGAGATGGTATGCTATTTTACTTTTTTTGTATTTTAATTCAATAGCTTCTCATTTATATCTCTTTATATTAGGAAGAGGTTGTTCTGAAGAGGTGCTGGCTTTCACGTTATTGGGGCTTATGCGTTAGACATGGTAACACCTTTCCCCTGCACAATATAACACAAAACAGTTTCTTAATAGTTATTCTATTGTTGAAGCTGAGTGGCATGTTATGGCAGGGATACAAGCAGATATTGCACGAGCAAAGCATGAGTACTGGTCATCGTTTGCACCTCTTCCTCTAGAGATTGTTCTTTCTGCAGGACAAAGAGCTAAGGACATGGTTACACGATGTAATATTACTAACTTAACAGCTGTTTTTCTTTTTTAACATAATTATGATCTTGCTTGTTACTTACCATCTTGTGTTAAACACCATGTAGCTAACAGCACACTTGGAGAAAGAGAAAAAACATTTCAGAATCTGCATGAAACTTCTGGTGAAGGAAATGTTGAAAGCATGGTATGGGTGGAGAAAGGATTGAGAGAACTGGCTGCACTAAAGGTAAACAAAAAACAACACTGAACATGAGAACTCTTCTTGTCTTAAAAGCCATAAAAGGTCTTGTTGTATTAGATGTTTTTGGGTCTGTCTTAAAGGTTCAAGAGGCAGTTGCATATGTCATGGCTCATAATAGAAGGAACTCATCATCCAAGACTTTTGTTTCAGGTGAATATATAAACCAAACATCTAAAGCTTAAGTTAGAATATAATGTTTCACATTTTTCCTGATCTGTATTTTCTTTTCCAAACAATTTGTAGATGAAGTGAAACTGCCAATGGATGGACAGTTTGAAGCCTTTGGTATGTGATCAAACCCCAATCAAAATCATTCATAGTATGATTTTAAAAAGCTTATGATTTGGTCCTTAAATGTTCTTGAGGAAAATAGTGTTATTTCCTTTACAGAGTTAAGTGATGATGAAGTTGAAGATGTGAGTTTTAAACAGGTAAAAGAGAAACACACATCAATTCTCTGTTTCTATGTTTTACGTGGGAGTTGTCATGTGACAATCTCATTGTGGCTTTACATATACACATAGGCATGGCTTTCATATTTTTGGAGAAGAGCTAAGAATCATGATATTGAAGCTGATCTCGCGGATGAGCGTTTGCAGTATTGGATAAACCAAGGGACACGATCTGCCACCTCACAAGATGCTGTTGATGGTACACTTGTACTCAACACTCTTATTTTTTTCATATGAATCAGTGTGTTTATGTAACGGGTGGTGAAAATTAATGCAGTGGAAAAAGGACTAATGGAGCTGAGGAAACTGAACATAGAGTCACAGCTTTGGCAAAAGTCAAGAAAAGGACTTGATCATGAATCTAACCCTTCTTCTCATCTTGAACTCTCTTTCTGATATTTCTCATTATAACTCTCATTTGGTCTTAGGTTTAGTACTGTTATTGGATTTGTGAATTTTAAAGAATTTATATATAAAAGATTTAAGTTGTGTATTTGATATTATATTTAGCTGTCTCAATATATTGTCTTCTAGAGTTAGCTAAACTAATGTGCTAATGAGAAGACATATAATTGGTTAGTAGTCTTTGACTAATGCTTAATTTTATACACACTAAACCGGAAAATACAGGTATAAACCCAGACATCTGAAGAAAAAGTGAACCAAAACACGGTTCATATGTGTACCGAGAGAGAGAGACAGAGATTAAAGGTTATCTACGACTCTTTCAAAACTAAAAGCACAAATTCGAAATAACAGAAAGTATCAAGGACCTACATGTGAAATTCCTACAAAGTTAATAGATCGGAGAGACGCTTCGTGCAAAAACGATCGTGTGTATCGTCGTCGATCGAGAGACGAAGAGAGAGAGAGAGAGAGAAAAATGGTGAGAGAAGTAGCGGAGAGCTGTGTAGACACTATGTTGATGGAGATGGTGGCGATGTACAGCGGCCGATTCTACGCTAACAAACCGGAACTCGCTGCTCGGAGGATCGAAGCAATCGGTTATCAAGTCGGCCACCAGCTCTCCGAGAGGTTTGATTCATCTTTCCTCCTGAGATTATTGAGTTTGTATTTCGCCTGTTATGTATTGGTTTTTAGATCTGAGGAGTTTATATTGTTAGAGTTGATTGTGTGATTTTGGATTTTATTGTTTCTCGTTTTGTGATTGGCTGAGAATGTGTTAGTAGGTGATAGATGGGAAGATCAATCGCGTTAATTTTGAATTTGTTAATTTCATTGGGAGTTTTTGGGGGTTTAGGAAATGTGAAAAGAATTTTAGGGATTTGAGATCAATTTGGAACTTAAAACTTGTTCTTGTGTCTAAGGTTTTCGTTTTATCAATGATTGGCCTCTGAGAATAGCTATGAATTTGAATCTTAGCTCACCTGCCCTGAGGAAACTCAATTTAGTTTCTCACTGTTTTAGTGGCTTAATCTTTCGTTTACTTTAGGAAAGTCTCATTTACCTTAGGAATATGTCTGATTTTGGATTTTATCGTTTCTCGTTTGTGATTGACCGATAATGTGTCAATAGATGAGTAGATGAATCACGCTAATTTGAAAATTTCATTTCATGGAGAGTATTTGAGTTCGGGAAGTGTTAAAACTATAGGAATTTGAGATTAATGTGGTACTGAAATTAATCTCTTTCGCTTTATGGTGTACTGTGATCTATGAATTTATCAGAAAATCAAGTAAATTAGAACTTCAACTTGTTCTTGTATTTAAGGTTTTCGTCTATCAATGTCTGCCCTCTGAGAGTTTGCTAGAATATTGAATTTGAGATCACCTGACCTGAATTTAGAGTGTAGGTTTTACTGAGCACCAGTGTAATTTCTCACTGTTTTTGTGGCTTACCAATTCTTTACTTTTGCAATGTTTTACCTGTGGAAAGTCTCTTCTTTACCTTAGAGTTATGTCCGTGGAAGCAACAGATTTTGAAGGTTTTATTGCTTACTTAAGACTGGTTTATCTGTTGAGAAATAGCAGATAGTGCATCCTACATAATGATCGTCCATAACTCTATCCTTATTATGTCACTAGGTACACTATGGAAAGACCAAGGTTCAGCGACCATCTAGAGGCAATCAAGTTTATCTGTAAAGACTTCTGGTCTGAGGTCTTCAAGAAGCAGATTGATAATCTCAAGACTAATCACCGGGTATGATTACCTCTCAAAACAAAAGAGGGAATACTCTTCTTGTGTGTGTGTGTTATCTGACAAATGTTTCTCCAGGGTACATTTGTATTGCAAGACAACAAGTTCAGATGGCTATCTCGTGTCTCGATTGACCCTTCATCTGAGAAGGAAACCGAAGATCCGTCTACTCCAGGGGAAAGCAAAGCAGCACAAGCTGTGAGCATGTACCTGTATTTCCCTTGTGGAATCATTAGAGGTGTCCTCTCCAACTTGGGGATACCTTGTGCTGTCTCTGCAGACATATCCAGCCTTCCCACTTGTGAGTTCACACCTTCCTTTAGCCTTTTTCTAAAATTCTTGTTCTTTCACTTCTTATAGAGTGACAGAATCTCACAAAATATCTCAACTCTGGCATTTGTTGAGTGACTTGAGTTTTGTCACGTTAAGTGGTCACTATAAGTCTGCTGCGAGTTGGTGACTAACCTTCTCTTATGTCCTCGCAGGCTCTTTTGTGATTCGGGTCAAGGCTTGATTCTGCATTAGCTTGAGAGTCATCACTTTCAGATTCCAGCTCGGCTTTATGGTTTCAAGGAAGATAGAGATTCTTTGAGTCCTAAGAGATTTAACTAAAAAGTAAAAAGCTTGTCTCAGACTTGTTTGCTGCCACTTCTGCCAAATCTCACAACGTTATTTGCATTCCGACTGTAAAACATTATTTGAATTCCGACTCTGGTATAGTTTTTGTCTTTGTCAAACATCTTTTTGTTGTTGTTGAAGTGTGAAATCCTTCTAGAAAAAAAAAAAGAACTTAGACATTTATCAGTGTTACTGTTAGCACAAAAAAGACGTTAATCAGGAAACATGTCGGAGAAAGCCCAATGGGCCTCTTTATCCTCCGGAAAAACTAATCTTTACCTAAACAAACGTTCCCTCCTTTTTCCAAATTTTGACTTAGCAAATCTCCCGCCATCCTAATCCTCTTGCGTCTCCTTCTTCCTCCTCAGAAGAAACACCTCTGAACCTTTAGTTCACAGGTAAACACTTTAGTTACTGAGTTTTCTCTATGCAACCTCTCTCCTTGCCTCACCCTTCCTCACTGTACTGTTTTTTCTTTGCCCCATTTTGATTCAAAATTAGGGTTTTTCGATTTTGTTTAGTTCCTATGCAAAAGTGTTTTAGTTACTTAGAGCGATGTTCTTTTACTAACTGTTAGCAATCTCCCAGCTCAAGAAATCAGTTTTTATTTTTGACATTTGGGTTAAAGATTATAACAATGTGTGCTTGATAACTAAGTTTCTAAGTTTAACGTTGATATGACTTCATGTGTTTATTAGTGTTCCTGATATCAAAATCTCATCTTGTTTGAAATATTGTTTGGCAAATTTTGAAGTTTCATCAATGGATAAACCAAGTCTTGAAGAACTTATTACGGTGGAGAGAGAGTATCTCCGCAAATCAATGGAGAAACTTGGAGGTGGTGCCTCAGGAATACTGTTCTGCGTTACTCAGTTGAAAGGTATACTAAAGCATAACGAGATGACTGAAGCCAATATCAAAAGTAGGACTCATGTGCTAGAGTCAAAGGAGAAGGAGCTCCAAACTCTGAGCTCAGAGCTTGCTAAAAAGGTTGAAACTTTTGAAAAGGAAAAGTCCAAAGCTAATAACTTGAAGAAGCTGGTGGAAGAGTGTGCAGAAGAGCTAAAGTTAAAGAGAAATGAGCTGACGGCAAAGCTGGACACTTCGTCAAGGATCCAAAGAGAGATCGATGTGAAGAAGAATCAGTGGCGGCATCATGCGGCTGAGATTCGGAGGCTTTGCAGTGAGACAAATAAAAAGAAGGACGAGTTGGCGCTGACTCTTGAGCAGGTTAAAGAGTCTGAGAAGCAGTTTAAGATGAAGTCGTTGGAGTTGGTTTCTAAAGAGAAGGATTTGGGACGTGTGAGAGAGTCTATTGAGGTTTCTAATTCTGAGCTTGAGGGGAGAAAGAAGATGGTAGAGTCATTGAACAATGAGATTGACTCCAAGTCCAAAGAGTTAAGGGAGATCAAAAGACTGATTGAGCAACTAACCAGTGAGCTTGTTGTCATGCAAAATCAGCATGATTCTATCAGAAGCTCGGAGATTAAAGATAAAGAAAAGGAGCTACATCTGCTTAAGAATCAGTTAGAGTTAGAGGAGAAGAAACTTCTTCAGGTCAAGAGAGAAATGGAAGAGGTGACAGATGCAAAGAAGAAAGATTTGGAGCTGACTCTTTTCAAGATTGAAGAGTCTGGCAAGAAGCTTGCGGTTGTTAATGAACAACTTGAGTCTCAACGAAGACAACTCGAGATGCAGTCAACTGAGCAAGTTTCTAAACAGATAGAGTTGGAGATTCTTAGAGAATCAAGCACGGGCTTCATCTGCGACCTTGAGGGGAAAGAGAAGAGGTTACAAGCACTACACAACCTGATAAAGATCTCTGGTGAACAGCTTGAGTTGAAATCCAAAGAGTTGAGGGAGATTGAAAGAGAGCTTAAGTTCAAGAGACACTTGAGACAAATGAACACTGTGCTTGTTAAGCTTGAGAAGGAGCCACAAGAAGAAACTGAACTGATAGATACTTTCACGCTTGATGGAATCTCAGCTTCTCTTATGCGCCATGAAATCTCCAGCGTTCTTAGAGCTGCACCTAATCCAGCAGAGTTTGTTCTGGAACGAGTGCAGGATGAAATTAGACAAGGATCAACTTTTCAGGACAAGTTCTTGGAGAATTTGGTTCTTATCTTTGAGGAGCTAGCCAAAATTCAAGGACCAGACAAGTCTACTCAGCTTCAGCTCCAGGCCACAGAAGTGGCAACTCTATGGAAAGAGAAGATAACTATCGAAGCACCAAAATCAGCTCTGGAGTCCTTGGCCTTTCTTCTGTTCATCATGGCATTTAAATTAAAGACACTGATCAACAAAGAAGAAACTGCTTTACTTGCTTGGTCTATTGCTCAATACGAACAGGCTCCTATACTCTTTGAGTATCTGAGTATCAACCTTACGATCCGAGGTTAGTTTTCTAGTAGTGATATAAAGATAGATTAATGAAGCGAGATTAACTATTTTGTCTTTTGCAGAGGTTGTTGAAGAGCTCATCAAGAAAAGCCAATATATTCCTGCAGTTAGGCTTATATGTTTGTTTAAACTTGATAAAGAGGTATCATCATTCTCCCCTTCAGAGCTCTTAAAGAAAGAGATTATCAACTTGAGACATTCTGCCTTGGAAAATAGATCCAACGAATCCTCACAGGTTTGATCACTTATCTTATCTTGTGGTTGATTAGTCACTGTTTGATTTAGAGATAATCAGTCTATGTTTGGTTCTTCCTTTTAGGTGAAAGAGAAAGATGGTGAAAGACTAAGAGCTATACTTGAACTGGTGGCAGATTACAAGCTTGAAATAGATCTTCCAGGGGACCTCATCGCCAAGGTCATGTTTCAAGGAGAAAGGTCAGCCCCTGTAGCTCATTGGTATGTGGAGCATGTCACCTCCTCATCAATTCCACAAGCTGGGTTGAAGAATAAAACTGTAGTTTCAGGTACAACTTTGCCAGCTGATGTTAACTCCATCAATGAAACATCAAACTCCGAGCGTTCTCCAACCATCCACACATATATCAGTAGAGGGAACTGAAGAAAAGGTTAGACTCATCAGGAGGAGGGATTGCTAGCTAATTAAATGTTAAAATAACCGTAGTTATATGACTCTGTATGATGTTAGAACAAAACTTATTTTGCATCTTGCAAGTCCTAATGATATGATCTGTAAGACTAACTAGTAGGAAACTAAACAGAGAGTGTGACTCTTTTCGGATTGGTAGGTCTTTTGGTGTCTCTGGTGTGTACTCTCTGTAGCTCGAACTTTTGATTGTATCACCGTCTTGTGTTTTGGTAAACGTAGGCTTTTTTAGACTAACCAAATTTTCTTTGTGAAAAAACCCACAAATAACACAGCTTAATTCTCACATTGGTTAAGGTAGCTTAGTGTATCTAGTAAAAAAATAAAAAATTAATAATATTGAAATTACACCAAAACTATAACTTTTTATTATTTTATATACTAATTGAACCAAAAATTCAATTTATAACTATAAAGTTATATTATTTTATAGAAATTTTTAGTGTATATTAATTTATAAAGTATTAATTTAAAGAGGTTATAGTATATGTAGTTTTTAGTGTAGTATATTTAATTTTTCGTTATTTAATAATGGATGACAAATTTAAATTCATTTTTTTCTACTAGTTAAATGTGTGAAAAAAATGGTGTGGGGGTACATATTTAGATAATATTACTATAATTTTTCATTAATTGATGACAAATTTAATTGCCATATTTTTTCACTAAATCATTGTTACTGTAGCTAATTAGGACTCTTTAGGGCTTACCTTAGAAAAAATAAAATAAAATAAAGTAAAATAAATTTCCCTCCATTTAATTTTTTTTCATTTCCCTCTCCGTTTATCATTTTTTTTTTGCTTCGACACCGCTTCGAATTCTAGGGTTCTGGATATTATTGCTTCCCTTTGAGCTAAATCTCGCTTCGTCTCGTCGAGCACTTAGAAGCTTCCCAGGTATCTCGACGGATTCTGAGTGTTTTCCCCTTTATTCTAGGGTTTTAGTTTCTTTCTCCTCAGTCCTCGCCTCGTTTTGATCGGAATTTCCACATGCATTTGATCTCTCCTCTCGATTTGCTAAAATCCGTAGCTAGTTTCTCTGTAGATGCATTGTTTTCATAATCGTACGAGTTTAAGTCGCAGTGATTTTCGCTGTGTCTGGGTAGATCAATCGTCCGTACGATTCCGTATCTCCTTAGTGTTGATTGTTCATAGCTATTCATATGAATCTAAGATTTCTCAGTATTAGGTTTGATTTCGATCGTAGTGTGATGAATTATCTCTATGTTTTCAGGTTTTGGAGGCTTAAATCTTCTCAGTCAACACTCGCTCAAGCCTATTTGAATCATAGTTTCGATGAAGGATGTTTGCATTGTTTAAAGTTTTTGTCTCTGAAGTGGTGAGCACTGAGTAGAGTTTTGCTTACAATGGGACTTGGTTTGATGAATCTCATTTAAGTTATCGCTTTGTTTTCGAGTTTTGCAGGCTTAAATCATCGCTGTCCACACTTTCTCAAGCCTATTTGAATCATATTTGTGATGAAGGATGTGTGCTTTGTTCAAAATTGTTGTCTCTGAAGTGGTAAGCACTGAGTAAAGTCTTGCTTACACTGAGTTTTAGAGTGAGGATTCGATAGGTTTATAACAATGTCAGTGCAACTGTATTTGTGTATGCAGGGACTCTAGAATTTTCGGTTCCCTTACTATCTTTTAGCTGATTTGAGAGGTTTGATTTATTACTGCAATGGATTGCAACAAAGAAGAGGCTACAAGGGCGAAAGTTTTAGCAGAGGAAAAGATGGAGGCTGGTGATTTCGTTGGAGCTCATAAACTGGCCACCAAGGCTCAGAGACTCTTCCCCGAACTGGAAAACATACAGAAGATGGTAGCCGTGTGTGATGTGCATTCTTCTGCTGATAAGAAAATTAAAGGGCTTGACGATTGGTATGGTATTCTTCAGGTTCAGCTTTCTGATGATTTTGAAACTATCAAGAAGCAATACAGAAAGCTTTGCCTGCTGCTGCATCCGGATAAGAACAAGTTTCCTGGTGCGGAGGCTGCTTTTAAGTTTGTTGGGGAGGCAAATAGATGGCTCTCTGATCAGATCAAACGGTCTCAGTATGATGTCAGATACAGATCACATTCACTGTTTGCTAGGAAAGAGTCGAATGCAAACTCTTGTCGCAACTCTTCATCTGGAACTGCTGCTGCGGTGAATATTGCAAGTGGATTAACGTTTTGGACGTGTTGCAGAAACTGTGGCCACAGGTATAAATACTTGAAAGTTTATATGAACCAAGTTATGCACTGTTCCTCTTGCCAGAGATCTTACACTGCCTGCAACATCGGGTCTGATGGAGTGCCATGTAGTAGTTCAACAGCTGGTGCAAAAAAATCTCAAGATCAAGAGACATCTCGGCAGCAACCTTGTACAGGAGCAGAATCAGGAAGTTCAGCAGCTGAGATGGATAAGAATGGGACAGTCGGAGGGAAACTCAACAAGAGGAAGCGGGAAAAACAGAAAAGAGGATCTGGTAACAAGAAACCCAAGAAAGATGAGGGTTATACAGAGAGTGACGCTGAAGGAGGAAGACCCCAGAACGGTGAGACTGTCAAAAATAACAATGTGGAAGTACCCAAACCTGATGTATTGAAGCCGCAGCCTGAAGTAAAAGAACCTGAGACTAGTGCAGCAGCTGAGATGGATAAGAATGGGACAGCCGGAGGAAAACTCAACAAGAGTAATCTGAAAAGACAGAAAAGAGGGTCTGATAACAAGAAACTCAAGAAAGATGATGATTATACAGGTAGTGACGCTGAAGGAGGACCCCAGAAAGGTGAGACAGTAAAAAATAACTCTGTGGAAGTACCTAAACCTGATGTATTGAAGCCGCAGCCTGAAGTAAAAGAACCTGAGACTAGTGCAGCAGCTGATATGAATAAAGAGAGTGAAGGCTGTGATCGCAATGGAGAAGACGAAGCTTTGTCGAGCAAGATGGGTGAAGTTGAAAATGGACACAAAGCTGATGAAAATCCTAGCACGCTGGATATACCTGATCCAGAATTTAATGTGTTTGAAGATGAACGGAAACCAGAAAATTTTGCAGTCAATCAAGTGTGGTCTACCTGTGATTCTAGAGATGGTATGCCACGGAGATATGCTCGGGTAAGGAAAGTGTTGGCTTCCGGTTTCAAGCTGCGAATCACCTACCTAAAGCCTGTTCAGGAAAAATATGATGAAAGCATTCCAGTTGCATGGGGAAAGTTCAGTAATGGAGAGATAGAGGATGTCGAGAACCGATCTACTTTTTCATGTCAGATGCTTCACACGGTATGCAACAAGGTTGTTTCCATATATCCAAGGAAAGGAGAAATTTGGGCTATGTTCAGGGATTGGGATGAGGATTCGAACACTCCAAAAAATCATGAATTGCCATATAAGTATGACTTCGTGGAAATTGTGAACGATTTTGAGGAAGAGGTTGGTATTGGAGTGGCTTATTTGGGAAAAGTTAAAGGGTTTGTTTCTATATATCAGCGGGAGGCGAAGAATAGCGTGCTTCAGGCTCAGTTTACTCCAGAACAGATGCTTAGATTTTCTCACAAAGTTCCAGCAGTTAAAATGACTGGAATGGATAAAGAGTCTGTTCCAGCTGGCTCATATGAACTGGACCCGACTGCACTGCCAAAAGATATATTTCAGGTTGAAGCGGTGGATAGTGAGACAATGAAAGGAAAAGCTGATAGTCCTTATCCTGAAGCTCCGGAGATTGAAGTGAATGCCAAGCCTGTTCCAGAGATCGTTCCATCTCCTCCAAGGAAACGTCAAAAATCTGATGATTGTGGCGGATGCAGTAACAGTGATAAGGTTTGTTCAACATCTGTGTCAATTGGGGAAGCCAAAGGCGAAGCTAGCAGTACCAAGGATTCTTCTTGTCAAGTTAATAAAAAGAGCACACCGAACGGGTCTAGAAAGAATGGGGAGGCGTCAGATGCCTTCAAACTGCGAAAATCTCCTCGTCTTCAAACAACTCCAAGCCAACAAAGAGAGGAGAAGAAAACTGCTAAACAAGTCGCTAAGATGAATACCCCAAAGACAACTGATGAGGGGCTCGTGACAGATTCTTTGGGAATAAACAAATCTCCTAAAGGCATACAGCAACAGGTAGAAAGTCAGGTTGGAGAAGGCTTGAAGAAAAGAGGACGTAATGGTGCCTTACCGTCTATCTCCAAGCAGAATGATTTGCCAGCTCAGTTGGATGGCTCTACTAACAAGCTCCTTGAGTCAACAACTCCTTCGTCAGCAAGTTGCAAAACACCGCAGAGAAATGCCTTCGACTTCAAGAACGAGAGATCTGAAGACAAACTCCGACGTGAGCAGATATGGGCTGTTTATAGTGACAAGGGAATGCCCACAGAGTACGTGAAGATCAGGAAAGTGGAAACCAAGACTGAAACCTTGTTACACGTAGCCCAAATGAAGCTGTGTCCGCCATCGACTGAACCCGTAACTCGCCATGTGTCTTGTGGGGAGTTCGAAGTGGAAACAGGAAAACCCAAAATCCTTCCTCTAACGAGCTTCTCACATCGGGTCAAAGCCTTTGACAGTAGGAAGAAGATAGTCAAAGTATACCCAAGGAAAGGTGAGATATGGGCTATCCGTAAGAACGGTGATAGCACCGAAGAAGATCATGATATCGTAGAAGTAGTGGAAGGTTACAGTGAAGGGAAGAGCATAAAAGCGATGGCTTTGACTGCTAAAGGCTTCAGTTCTATATACACAAGGAAGCATGGGTCAGGTGTGGGTTCGGTAGAGATTCAAAAGGCGGAATTGAGTAGGTTTTCTCATCAGATTCCGGCTGTCAAACAGGAGAAGAGAGCAACAAGGCTAGCTGAAGGAGGATACTGGGAGCTTGACCCTGCCGCAATTCCAGGTCGCACCACCATAGTCATAGACTGACCACAGAGTTCCGCAAAGTATGCATTCAGTTTTCTTATATCAAATACTATCTGTAGGTAAGTGTTATTTCATCAAGTGAAGCTTAATGTTTGGTGATTGTCAAGAAGAGTATCAGATTATAGTATTGCCTTTTGTTGGGGGATAGCTTATGAGTTATGACTTGTTTTTGCAGGCTTTGTTTCTCTGTTATATTGTCTTTCTCTTTCTCTGTGCAGCAGATAATCTATCAGTCTAGCTAAGTCAACTATAGAGGATTAATAACTTTCATGAGTCTACTCCATACTCTTGCTGTTACAGTTTTCAAACGCTAAAAACGGTTTACAAAGTAGTATTAAGATAAAAAAAGTGACTAAAGTAACCAAAAGCTTTGAAACTAGTTATCTAACTACACATACAAAAGAGTTTTAACTATTCCAACTTCGGTTTTGGTTTGCAAGAAGTATGTGATCTTGATGATAAAGGGAAGAAAATCTCAGAAACGTTTTGGAAACTTCCTCTATCATACATATTCTGTTTCACTATAGCTTGAGCTTTGGCCTCTGCTTCATCATCATGGGTAGAGGATCTTCCACAAAGCCCAAAGCTTTTGCGTTTCTTCACTTCACAGTATGGCTTTCCAGCCTTGAGGGCCGCAGAGCTTGCCTTTGCTTCACTGAGTTTCTTCCTCCAGCTTATGTACTCTCTCCATTTAAATGTCTATCCAAAAACAAACAAACCCACAAAACTGTTAAATTAGCCGGAGAAAGATGATATGATATATATATTCTAAAGAGGCTGAAATTTTTATAAACCTCATTAGTTGTTGTGTTGGTTAAGCAGAGTTTTAAATGGTAAGCAAAGAAGCCAGCGAGGAGGAGAGAAACAATGGCGAGAAACACCATCAGAAGTATTTGGGTGTTGTATGTACCAACCAGCCACTGTTTCCAAGATATTGAAAAATTGATAATAGACTATTAGACTTTAACATATGAGCAACTACAGAGAGATTGAGAGAGGTTAGCTAGTTAGGGTCTACTTGCCTGTAAAACTCGAGGAGCTAAGTTGCGGAAAGAATTCTCTACGCCGTAATAGACTGCACAAAAGAGAAAGCAAGATCAGATTAGGAACCAAAAGGAACAACAAAGAGGGCATTTTTGATGTGGACCTGTTAAGATATGCACAACACGGAGTTCTTTAACTCGTCCAGCGAGAATAAACCCAATGGCTATTGATCCGTACAAGCAAAGAAGAAAGTGCCTACAAAATCACTAAAGAACCATTTCGTTAACAAAAGAAACGATGAGGACACAGCACCACAAGATGGAATCTTCCTAGTAATATTCAAAGAATGAAAGCTCACCAAAAGAGGAAAGCCATGAAATATCTGGTATTCTTTTCTCCAATACAGTTATTCTGAAAGCTCACACCAAGTAGAATGTTGATATGAAATTTAGAGAATATAAAAGAAGTAACAGAGTACGGTAGCTTAAGTACTAACCATCCAGCCACAGTGATGGTCAAACCGAGCTACACAGCGGTTGCATATGCTGCAATGCTTGGATCTAGCAGGCCTTAACAACAGAAACAAAGAGTACAACATTAGCATAAATCATACATATGTTATTTAATTAGGTTACTAGGGAATGTCAATGCACTCACTTCAGGATTTTACACGTAGGACATTCTTTCTCAGAGTAAATAATATCATCATAAGGGTAAGCAGACATGTACTGTGAAACATTCGAAGCATTCACAGTACCTGGATCAGAAAAGCTTGTTAATAAGAAAAGTATGACACCCACAACAACAGCCACAAAACTCGTATACCTACAAGGATAAAAATCGAATTCAACATATAAAAACAACTCTAAACTTAAAAAATTTCAAAAAAAAAAGTAAAAAAAAGGAATCCTTCTTACTTGTGAACATCGCCAATATAGTATCCAGGTATATAAACGAAAGAAGACTTTGCAATCATAAAGTATACTGATCCAATAATGGCTATGTATATAATCTACAAAACAACAATGGAGTATAAAGTTGTCACTTTATAGCTACAGATTCATCTGCTCCTTAAAATGGATCAAACAGAGTAAGAAGAAAGATACAAACTTGCAATATGGGATTAGGACGGTCACAACAGAACTGCTCCACCGTTAAGACAACGTCTGTACCTTTAGGACCAAACACCATTCCGACAAACCTCCTGCAAACAAAACCCCCACAACAGAGAATGTTCTAAATCAAAAAAAAAAAAATCAAAACTTTGAAGTGAATTAAAGAATGTTGAATGAGAGTACAGTAAGTAGTCATAGGCGCCGCGAGTGAGGAAGTAGTGAATCCATTGAAAAGGTGTTCCTTTGAAGATTGGCCATTGACCACAGAGGAAAGAGATGATCACTGTTAACGTCATGATCCCGTGAACTACCAGAACCCACGGTACCGCCATTTCGTCTCTCTCTCTCTGAGATATCCTCCTCCGATCGTCGGAAAAGTCAAACTCTTTTCCTCTCTTAAATATTTTTCTGGTTTAATATACAGTTTCAGAATATTAGGGGCTGATTTAGTTAATTAGGTAATTAAAAGGGTAATAATAGCAATATTTTGCTTCTCTCACATAAGTATATCTCCAATTTTTTCCTTTAAATACACTAAAATAAAATACCTCTATTATAGAATAAATTTGGGACAATAGCATAAAAAACCTTCAAAGTGACACTCGCTAACACTTTAAACCTTGAATTTATTTAACTAGCATATTGAACATTCAACTTGACATCTGTATCACAAAAAACCTTCAACTTGGCTTACTTGTTCGTCAAGTTAAAATTGTGACTTGTTAACCTACAATAGTAGGTCACATATTATTTTTTTTTCTTTTATTTAATTAATAATTGCAATTAACAATACAAAACCTAAATAAAATTAGAAAATTACAGAAAAATTTCTAAAATTGAATTTAATAAAAATCAAAAATTTTCTTAAAACTTCAAAGATTTTAAATTAAAAATTTTGCAAATTGAAAACTTTTTAAAAAAAAAATCATATAAAACTATTAATTTTTCTCACAAAAAAAAAATAATAGTGTCAAAATCATTGTTATTTTTATATAAGAAATTATCATCGTTAAAGATATCAACAAAATTAAACGTCTAAAACTTACAAAACATTATTATTAATTCTGATATGACGAAAAGTGCTCCTTTTACTAGTGGTATATCCACACTATTTAATTTTGAATAACATTTTAAAGCATTTGCCTTATAAGCTTTTTAAATGTTTAGTTAATAATAATAACATACAAATAAATATGAGTTAGAGGTTATCTTTGATATTGAAAAAGTTGTATTAAGAGTTAAAATGTTCATATCGAAATCATCATATAGTTGTCGTTTTTTATTAACAAAATAAAAAAAAAATCTATCAAGGTATTAAATTATTAGTAAGATACATTAATATAATTATGGGGATAATAAAATTGCTTTAGTTGCTACTAATATGACCATTAATAATAATATCGTATGGTTAGAGAAAATAAAGGGGAAGACCAAAATATTTTAAAAAAAAGTCTAAACAACTTTCACAGATAGTTTTTCAAGACTCATTCCCTTTTAATAGTATTGATATAGTTTATAAAAAATATACACTCATATATCACAAAATTCCATTTAGAATAAAAATAAAACACTTGTAAATTCTTAAGAAAATATTTTGATTTTTTAAATTAGATTTTTGAATTTTTCTGTACTTTAAAACAAATATTTTTGAAAAATTACACGTTAAAAAAATTAAATTTTAAGAAGATATTTTGGTTTTTATTAAGTTCAGTTTAAGATTTACTTTCTGTAATTTTCTAATTTCTTTAGTTTTTTATTGTTAATTGTATTTATTAATTAAATAAAACAAAATAATAACATGTGACCTACTATTGTAGGTTAACAAGTCACAATTTAAACTTGACGAACAAGTAAGCAAAGTTGAAGGTTTTTTGTGATACAAATGTCAAGTTGAATGTTCAATATGCTAGTTAAATAAGTTCAAGGTTTAAAGTGCTAGTGAGTGCCACTTCGAAGGTTTTTTATGCTATTTTCCCGAATAAATTTTGCTCCCTTATTAAATTGCTCCAATATTTTACTTTATAATAGAATTTTTATTATATTATTTTATAATAGACTTATTTTATTTTAATCTAAATTATAGAAAAAATAGAATGTAGCTGTAGATGGTCTGACATAGCAAGAAACAATAGACATAATATTATGTAGGCTTGAGATTTTTGTCCGAACCAAATGGGTCGAACCGAACTGGACCATTTTTTCGGTTTTCGATTCAGTTCGGTTTTCAATTCGTATGGTTTTTAAAAATTAATTGGTTTTCGGTTTGATTTTTAATTTTCAAAATAAAAATTAAAAATTTTAAAAACCAAAAATATCCGAAAATAAGCAAAAAAAACGAACCGAAAATAACCAAATATTTTGGAAAAATTATACCAAAGTTAACCGAAAATTTAAAAATTTGGTTATTTTCAGAATAAAATTGAAAACTGAAATAAACCGATAACCGAACCGAAATTTCATCAGTTTATTTTGGAATTGTTTTTAAAAACTTCGGTTGACCAAAAACCGACGGTTCAAATCGGTTTCGGAAAACCGAAGTCACGGGCCTAATATTAGGGGTTGATTTGAAAATTAGATAAAATAAAAGAGTACAATAGCAATGATTTCCTTGTGATGAAACTCATAACACAATGTACCTTATTGTTAGATCAATACAAAAGCTTCATGTTTCAGAGAACAACCTAAAACATAAAAGACACAGAATCCAGTTCCTTGTGCATCTTAAACATACTTTAAAAAGAAAAGACACATTAGACTTGCAATAAACTCAAACCAAGACCTTCCTCCTCTTCTTTAACGTTAAAAGCTTCAAGATAATCTCTAGGAATAGCAGCAGGATCCAGCTCGAAGTAACCAGCTGGTACACCACCTTCACTGTCATCATCTCCAGTCAATTCAAAAGATGGAACTCTATGAGAAAACCTAAGCATCTCATCAGACGGTATCATCATTTTGTAGCATTCATGTTGCGGAGCATGTTTGTACACTGAAGTGAATCCATCCACTCTTCCTAGATAAGCAACTCCAATGCCATGAACATTGTCCAGTTCAGACTCTATTTGAACAAAGTCGTAGCTATAAGGACGCTTGTAGTGCTGCTCACT